CATATCTTCCTAGAATAAACACAAATGCCAACTCCTCTGTGAAGCCTTCTTTGATTTAACTAGCTTGAGTGAATCCCTTCTTTCTTGAAGCCTCTTTGTAAATGAGCATTTCATTTATAACTTTGAAGATGCCTACCATATGATGCATTAGATTTTTTCCTGCCCTATCTCTACTGCTAATTCCTTCTCCTTATCCCAGTTTGTCCTCCACAATTCACAGTGTCACTTTACATTTATTTCTGAGATTGGGTATTGTGCCTTCTTCTAATAACAAATGTAAAGAAACACTTTACATTTATTTCTGAGATTGGGTATTGTCCCCGCTTCTAATAACAGTATACATTTATTTCTGAGATTGGGTATTGTCCCCGCTTCTAATAACAGTAACAGTTATTGAGGACTAAATGCCAAGTACTGTTTTAGTCAATTCCATGTATTTACTTATTTAATTCTCACAAGAATCTCAGGATTGTTATTAGCTCCATTTTACAGGTTAGAAAAATGTGGCCCATATAGCTAAATTCAGGATTCAAGATTCAGGCCAAGTCAGTGAAGCTCCAAAGTTCATTCTCTACAAGATTCTTCAAGACTACGTGTCTACTGTAGGGGGATCAGTTCTGCATTTCCTTTTGTTTAGTCCTAGGGCTGTATTCCCAGCACCTGGCACAGTGCTTGGTACATAGTAAGGGCTCAAAATATACTGATGAATGAAGGAGCATATTTTTGCGTATCTATAAGTCACTTAAAAACAGAGACAATGCTTTATATGTCTTGATCTTTATCCTCCTGCCACATCTCATCTGTATCTTGCACCTGTATGTTAGTTAAGTGCTTTTTGAATGAAGAGGCAGAAAGATAGATATTGGGCACAGGGATAGGTAAGGGAAGGCAGAGAAGGGGACTGAAAATGGGAGGAAAACTAGCTCTCTAAGGCAAACAAAGCTTGGTAGAAGGAATTGGAGAGGATGCAATTGGATAAATTAAGGAAAGGGACAATGACTTAAATATCTAGAGAGACCAGGAGGACAATAGAAATTAGGGACATGGGCTGGAAGGCCATACCATGATGGAGATTGTGGTGAACAGACAAGAACTGTTAGGTCCCAGTGCATGATGGGCAAGCCAAGGGATGCCAGAGATTATGGTTTTTCAAGAGAAGATAAAAATCTGGATTTTATGTGAAATTCTTTATTTTTATAACTGTTTGTAAGTATTTCAAATTAAAGGAAAGATAACACTCTGGATTAAACCTAAGGGGAATATTACAAGATGAGGTTCCAAACTTAATGGTCAGGCCACTTGTAGGACACTTGGATGCCCTGTGAAGACTTTTGGATTCAATACTCAATGTGCAAAATTCTATGTAAATACATGGTACAATCTTTGGGGTAATAGAACTGTATCACTGGAGGTTGGGCTTGTTCATTCCTTTATGATATACAAATATTGCTTATTGAATTTTTCCCTGGTTTTCTAAAGGAAAACCAGGCTTAACTGAGCCTTCTTCCCTTCTCGGGCTCATCCCTGAGTTAGAATAACATGAGTCCTAGCTGGTCCCTAAAGAATCAGGGAAGTGGCAAAACCAACCAGGTAACTTGGTTTTGTGAAGTGGCAAACACCTAACAGTGCAGCTTTGGGGATATGAGTTGGAATTTTGGACAATAAAGAAAAGTGGAAGTAGTTCGTCAAGGCTTCAAGGAGAATGGATTTGGGGCCAGGGGACAAGGGATGTCTGAAATTAAGCAGTACAAAGAATAAAATCCAAGTGATGAAAGCCCCTCCCTCATTTTGCCTTCTCTTCCACTTAACTAGGAACGTGTGTTGGGTACCTACTGTAGGCTCAGCACTATGCTGTCCACTAGCAACAAAAAAACAGAGATATCCAAAAGATTAGGGGGGACCTTGGGCTCAAAGCAGAAAATGCATAAGACCCAGGTATGACAGAGACCTTGTCTCTGTCACTTATTAGTATGATCTTGAAGAAATTTCTTAGCATCTTAAAGCCCCAGTTTTCATATCTGTAAAATGGGGGAGAAGAGTAGTTGAATCAATCACACAAATTTATTGTGAGATCAACAAAGAATATTTGTGTAAACCACTCAGCACAGTGCCTGCTGCGTAGTTGGGACTTACACTGACAGCAATTACTATGTTTACATGTAAATTCCCCAACAGAAGAATATAGAGGAAACAATGTTGATCCAAAGAAGGAAATTCTTTTCTATCTCTTCCTTTTAGTTATTTCCTTCATAATACACTCTACAATTTGAAACCATCTTTCCAAAGGCTTACCATTTCTTCTATGCTGTCTCCCCACCCCTGACCTTCACTAGACTGCAAGGGGCAGGAAGGCAGGGAGCCTATCTGCTATGTCCACCTCGGCCTCCCAGTGCTGCCTAGGACCTAAGCATATATTAGGTACCTAATAACAATAACATTTCTGAGCATTTATATATTGGGCTCTGATACATTTTAGTGCATTATGTCATCTGATCCTTTGCAACAATCTTATGAATTGTTAATATAATTGTCCCCAACTTAAAAATAAGGTGTCAGAGGCACAGAACTATGAAGTCACTTAGTAAGGGTGCAACAAGGGTTGAAATGTGCACCAGTCGCTGCTATAGCCTGGGTCCCCTTCCACTGGGAACGGAACATCCACAGAATAAAAGAATGACTGAATGAGTAATGAAAAAAGATTCGGAGGAGAGGAGACAATTTAGATGGAAAATGAGTAGCAGTTTCCAGGTAAGCAAGGGACAGAAGGACAAATGGGCGCATTCGTGACAGGAGAGGGCAACTTCAGGAAGTCCATGTTTAACAAACAAACAAAAATAAAGTGTAAGTGTGTGTTTGACAGAGTCAGAAAGAGAGAAAGATAGAGAGACAAATGGAGAAAGCAAGTCTTACTAAGCCTGAGGAGTTTGGACATTTTCCTGCTGGCAGCAGGGAAACCTGGAAGAGAAAATGTGGGGAGTGATCAGATTTCCTTCTCTATGGTCAACATTCCGATTATAATAAGGGCGAATCACAAGTTAGAGGAGAATTGTGAATCTGTAAGCAGGGAGACCAGTTTGGAGACTCTTGAAGCAGCAAGAATGAGAAGCTGTGTGGTCCAAGCATTAAAAAGTTTCAGATATTTGTAAATATGGAGTCTTCAGGTGTTAATAGGAAGCAGTATTTCCAATTACAACTTGGAATGGTCCGCAAGAATTAATGAGAGGGAAGCTTAACCTTAACTCAGAAAGGAATTCCCTAAATGGATGTTTGAGCTTTCTCATTTTTGATCAGCATTGGGCTGCACACACCTGCTAGGTGTTACTTTTGATTCTTGTGCTGAAACAGCCACATAAATACAGATTCAGGCCGGCACTAAACTCTTGGAACGTCTTTAGTTTGGGAATTTAAACACGAGGAACCATTTGGTTTTGCAGTGGCCGTCATTCCAAAACATAAATCATGCCAAACTTGTTTGAAATCCTGTCTTTACAAGGTTGTGTGTTTTGACAAACCTTGCAGCAAATTTGGTCCGGCTTTTGGCTTTGCAATGAAACCTGAAACCGAGCAAGCTGGCCTGGCCTGGGGTCTTCTCAGACAAGGTCCAACCCGCCTAGGTGAATGCCTCCCTCATCTCATCCCGACAAGGGACATTGCTGGGCTGGGCTGTGCTGGAAATTTGGGGTGGATCCTGAAAACATGTCCTACAATTATGGAAAGGACTGATCAAGATAGCAATCTGGGGTTATTTCTACACCTGAGCATTCTTAAGAGGGTAAATTGCAGAATTAGTAATACCTTATCCCCTGTTGGCTAGTGACTTAGAGATACTCCAGGTCGTGATTGGGGCAGAAAGTTAATTAATCTGCTTATTAAAAAGAAGAAATGTCTCATTTGCATGCATTTACATTCAGGTCTTGCATGCCTCGTGCTTGTTTGGTGGTCTCTGCTCTCTTTCCTTGGCGCCACAGACCTAACTGGGTATTAACTCAATATATTTACATTTTCTGTGTCTGGGCTTTATTTAAGGGCTGTATGTCTGGTTATCATTGGTTCTAGCAGAATTTGATTGTCATATAGATCACTTTGTTCCCTAAATAGATCCTTGCTCCTCCCCTGGGCTGTGTGGGCTACCTTCCAGGTATCACATACCGCATTTGGGAAAGGATTCATGCACTTGACCAGTGTTGGAAAATAAAGACGTTGTCTCCATCAGAGTTGGGCATGTTATTTGGGGTTGAACCATTCAATTATCTGCAATTTCCTACTCAACTGAATCGTCCCTGGTCATTTTTAATGGGAGTTTTCTTCTTCTTGATTTTCCTATCTTATTTGGAGGTCTGCTTTGGGAGAGTTTTTATCCCCCCTAGAAAAGAAAAGATCATTGCCCCACGGGTCTATCTTAGGCATTTCGCATCGCAATGATTGTTTTTTACCTGGAAATGCTTTGTAACCTGAATCCAGGCCCCCTTAAACTGGCTTGAATGAAGCCCTGGGAAGAGAGGGAGGGGCTGGGAAGAGGACTGACGGCTGGGGGAGGGGAGGGAGGAGGGGCAGAAATGCAAAGACTGTAACAAGCTCTTGGAAGAGCAGCAAGTAAAACCCAAACTATATCGGGGGATTAGTGCAGAGGGAAATCTTTGCAGGTGAGTGAATCACTTGCCCCAGTATGGGGACCAGGATGCCCGCGTTTCTGTATTTTGTAGCAATCACATTTCTGATACATTACAGCAGGGTGGCTGTCAGGGGTGCGTGGCTCTGGCAGCGGTTAAACCACCTATATGCTAACAAGCTTAGCAATCAGGTTGTGAAGGGTCCTGGCTGGAGGAAAAAAATTAAAACCAAACCTTAGACCTCTGTCAGACTGTGAGGAGAATTATATTTTTGAACTAGTCTACAGTGTGGACAGGAAATGACCTCTCCACAAACTGCTTCTTTAAAAACAAGCAGTGGTGCCTAAAGCTATCCAGCTTCTCTCCCTCCCTCCCTCCCTCCCTCCTCTCCCGTGCTCCCTCCCTCCTCTCTCGCTCTCCCTCTCCTCTCCTGCTATAGAGGGCTCCAACAGCAGTTCCCAGCCAGTGTGTTCAGCCTGCCTGCCTGCCTCTGTGTGTGTGTGCGCGCGAGCGTGTGCGTGCGTCTACTTTGTACTGTGAAGAACACAGCCCATGTGCTCTGCATGGACGTTACTGATAGTCTGTTTAGCTTGATTTTCGACAAGCAGGCAAGATGTCCAGCACACCACATGACCCCTTCTATTCTTCTCCTTTCGGCCCATTTTATAGGAGGCATACACCATACATGGTACAGCCAGAGTACCGAGTCTATGAGATGAACAAGAGACTGCAGTCTCGTACAGAGGTAAGTACTTCAGCCTGGGGTGTGTGTGTGTGTGTGTGTATTTTTTTTTTTTTAACTGTGTTTGGGCTTTTCCTGGGTTGCTGGCTGAATTCTGTGGGAAGTATCCCACTAGATACTACCACGTACGTGGAAAGAGCGCCGGGATGGATCCACTAGTTTGAACGTTGGGTTTCCAGGCGCAGCAACTCTTGGAGCTGGGGACAGTTTCTGCCTGAATCTTGAAATAGACAACCCAACACTTGATTCGCGTGCCGGGTCTCCAGAAATGCTGCTCTCCCAGAACTCCGGGTTTTGCAGGCTCCGAGTTAGTCCCGTTACTGTTTCTTGAGATGTAATTGCAAAGTATTTTGTGATCATTTGCATTTGGCATGACAATCTTTTACCAAATCCCAGAGGAAGTCTGCTTTGACCTGCATTTGCTTTTCAAAGTCTTCAAAATTGAAGTGAAGGGGGCAGGAGAGTAACCCCACATACTTTTCAGAACTAGTCCTGGAGGGACACGTTTGTGTATTTGCGTGTTAAATTCAGAAACCAGTTGCAGGGGGCAAGGGGATGGTTGACTTTCTCCTCCTCCTGATGGTGCGTCTCCGAAGGAGCTCTGCCTTCCAGTGGAGCTGGCTCAGCATTCAAGTGAGCTCTAGTTTTGCAAATTTGTGATCTGGTTCCTGAGAGAGGGACCCTCAGCCCCCTGGGCCAGCAACTCTGGGAGCCTAGAGCACAGGACTTTGAGAACTTTGTAAATGCAAAACTCCAGACTGTCTCTTGCAATTTAAATATTTAATGCCAGATGACTTTTCCTGTGTGCTAGGTAGGCTGGCAGGTCGTGCTGCTGGGCTCTGCATTTGCCTGTAAATTGGGGGTTTTGTGTTGAAGTCTTCTGAGGAGTTTGCTAGAGGTGCCCCAAAGTCACTTCAGGAAGTAGAAATCGCTGGGAATTCCGTCTTCTCCGTAGAGTACAAATTCCTGGAGGGTTGATGGCAGAGAGATTTTAGGGAATAGCTTTGGTGGAATTTTAGATTGACGATTGGCTCCCAGCTCTGAAACGGGACTCAATTAAGGTTTTATGATAAATTAAAACACACTTGCTTAAATTATCAACAGAGCCATGGAGAATTCATGACGTTTAATGTATTTAATACAGCTACCGAGATGTGACCGGCTCTCTGATTGGTTCCCTGCTGGACAAGGACTGGTGTTTTTTTTAAAAACTGGGTTGTCTTTATCACTGCTCTTTTCTTTATTTGTTAATGTACAATAGATGTTAAATATAGTTCTTGATACTGTTGCTCTCTCCAGAAGCCAGTAGCTTTTCCAGAAGTGTAAACTCTGTTTTTCTTAGGGTGGCGAGCTGTTGGCAGTAATGATACTACTTGTGTGTGTGTGTGTGTTATAATTTGTATATTTCAGTCTGATCTTTGCAACTGTGTGTTGGAATCTTATATTCCTGCCTAAACTATTGGTGGTTGTAGTTTGCTTTCAGAATTAGGAGGATAGAAAATGTCTCATAGTTCAGGCATACATTAATTACAATGCAAATTTGGGATTAAAAAGTCTTAAAATATGATTCGTTTAAATAAGAGTACAGGGGCCATCATGGCTCAATTCTGGAACAGCAACAAGATTGAAAGATAGCCCATGTCCACCTTACATTTTAGAAAGTTTTTGAGGAGTTGTGGAAAGATTTTCACCCATTCCTCCTTGGTTAGCAGAGCAGACAGATTTGTCTTGTAACTGTGTTCCCTTATGCCCCTAAATTATCACCTGGGCACTTCTGAACCAGGAGACTTATCTGGGAGGCTTCTCTATCCTGACACTTAGAAAAACCTGCGGGATGCAATTAGATCTCCATGTTGGTTTCACACTTACGGGAAAAATCTCCGAGAAGTCCCCCATTCGTAGAATGTTTCTTAAAAATGGCACATTATTTTTTGTGAGAGCTAAACTCAGAAACTCCTAACTTTTGGATCATGGGATATTACTTTTAAAGATTTTCCTCTGAGTAGAAAAAAAGCGTTTCATAGCTCAAAAACTGGAAAGGAAAGCCTGCTATAAAAAATCATAAAGATTCTTTAAAACTTCTCTATGACAAAAAAGCACTGTGAATTGTTCCCTGGTATATTCTAGAGCCAACCCCGAACATTTTCCCCCTTAATTAGGTCTTTTTTATAATTATCCAAATATTTGCCCTGAAACTTGTTTTTTCTTTGCCAAGCAGTAAATGATGTCATGAACCCAAGGCCATAAATTTGTTTTCATTTCATATGAAAAAAAAGGAGAAAATCAAATAATTGCTCCTTAAGTAGTTTAAATATTAGCATTAAATATTAAATTTTGATCATAGTTTGTAATTGGAAAAGAAAATATTTAAGAAAAAAATAACTTTTCATTAAAAAGTTATACCTTGCCTATACCAATGATGATTATTTACGAGAAAGTTGTTCTGAGCCTTAGATGGGGATTGGTTAGAATAAAATACAATAGTACCCAGCAAGAGTTACAGTTAATGCACACACAAAATCAACTAGATTGTTGAGTAATTACTTGTAGAATTTAACCAGCGCATCCAACAGTTGTGAACAAGAAACTCACCCCTCTTTCCTCTCTCTCTCTTTTGTGGCTCCTGCTTTTATATTGCAGTGTTTTTTAACTGATTCCTAAACACACACACACACACACACACACACACACACACACACACACACACACACATCTGGGTAGTATCTTCAACTCTTCATTCCATTTTGAACATAGACGTGGCTGGAAAGAAATCTTAGCAAATCACTTTGTGATGAATAAATTGCTCTCAAGTTTGTAGAAATTTCCTAGAAACCTTCTTCATGGAAAAGACAATGTACTAAAAAACAGGGCGTTTACCTGTCCGGCGTTTACCTGTTCTCCTTCCATAGTTGACCCCCAGGGCATTACTTCCTGGGGACTGATGCTTTTCTTCCAATTAAATCAAATCAGCCCTCCAGAAGCTGAGTAGTTTTAGTTTAAAGAGCATTGGATTGTGAATTAATCCCGTGTCTGACTTGTTTCTGTCACTAACTAGTTCGCATGGATCATGGTTCCTAATCTGAAAATTACCTGTGATACACCTTTAATTTAAAAATTAGGATTCTACAAAAGCCCTGGGTTTGGCGTTCTTAAGTAAAGAAAGTATCGTGATTGAGAGTAAAAAGAGCACAGACATTATTACTTTGCCCATGGTAGTTAGTTCAAGATCATAAATGGTACGGAAATAATTGGGTAATAGTGGAGATATTGAAGGCAGAAATCCTGCCAGTCCTGTTTAAAGGCAGCGCTTAGAGCAAGCAGTTACTGGGACAAAGTAGGTACTCAGTAAACATTTGTTAACTAGCTGACCCATGGCAGATAAGGTGAAAGAAGAGTTGGAGAGCTATGGCTTTGAAATGAGCACCTTGCCTGAGAAACACAATTCTGATACCTTTGGGGGCCTGGCACCTCCTGCAGTTGCTGTGGGCATCTGCTTCCCATTCTCCTAAAAGTGCTCATCCCCAAATCTCCACATTCATTTTATCATGAGGTAAGTTATATCCCTAATCTTTGTGGCAAAGGCTAGCTAGTGCCTAATTATAGGACCTCATCTCTTTTTGATGGAATATGAATGCATTACAAAGCAAACAAAAACAACACAAATATGTTTTAAATGCAGTTGGCTGTTCTGGGAAATAAAATTTCTTTACAACATCAACATTTTAGTGGAATTTCATAAAGAAATATGTGGGTGTTTCACATCCTCCTTCCCCCATGATGGTTAAGAGAAACTCAGTGAGCTTTGCGTCACTATTGGTCACTGTAATGCAGTAGGAAGGGGTTACATTTTCTGTAGTGTATGCTTCATGAATCGACCTTATGTCTTCCACAACTTATCTGAATGGTCTTGCTGCCCCAGATGTTTTTTGGAAGAACACAACTCCGCAATTACAATGGTTTAACATTATACACACAGTATAGTCAGATACAGTATAAAAATATGTTCTAAAGATTTCAGAATTTGTTCTGTAAAAAGCTTCAATAATAACAAAAACTATATATTTTTTTCATTTCCTGAGGTCTGAACTCTGAGATGAAAATATAGGTAAAACATGAGACATAGCATAGTGACCTTCATTTATAGTAAACAGATTTCACCATGTTCGCTAAACGATAACAGGATTCAAGAAAGTTTAACAAGTTATACAAATCTTTGTTATTGTAGGTAACTTTTCTATGTCTGTGCCTTCCTTCAAATGACCAAAAATTTCTCCATTCCAATGACGATTTTTTTTTCATACTGGCAATATGCTAATTTTAATACAATATCACAAACTCCAGGAAAGTGTGCATTCCATTATGCATTTCTGCTGGTTTGAGATTTTTCTTTTATCAGTATTACACATTCCACTCCAAAACAGAAAACCGTGATTACAATTGGAAGCCACACACACAAGGTTTATATTAGAATTATGGTTTTTAGTTTTACAGCGTTTAATATGAACGTGAAAAATGTTTGAAGACCTTGAAATTTCAATCTGCTGCTTTCACCCCTCCCAGTTTAATTCTCAAACTCCCTGGAGAGGGTGTGGGAGCGGGTGGAGGTCTGTCTTTTCTTTCAGCTACATTTTTATATACTTCAGTCACAGGGCTTCACATTGTAACATCATGTTTATTCATGGGATAGCTTAGTATCATTGATGTTCAGACGGAGTGTAGTTAAAATGAGATTAGGTATTTTGGATAGGTGGAAAAAAAAGAAAAATGCTTTGTGATAACTTGGATTTTTTCTCCCCCTAGAAATTTAGAAAAATGTTGCTGTTACTCGGAGGCATATGAATGATTTTCAGTGTTAAGCAGAACTTTCCAAGTTTTCGAAGGGGGTTGGTGAAGAGTGGGGGGAGGGGAGGTTGGTAGTGGTAAGGAAAGCTATTTTGAAAATGTTAAATGAAACCAAAAGTGCAATTTTAAAAATGAAAACTTCCAAACTCTTATTTTTCAAG